CTCTCTCTCTCTCTCTCTCTCTCTCTCTCTCTCTCTCTCTCTCTCTCTCTCTCTCTCTCTCTCTCTCGCACACACGCGTATCGATCCCGGCTGTTGTTAACACACGAAACGATCGTAGCTTATCCGCAGCGCCGATAAGACGTTGCACGTTACAATTAACGGGGAGCGATGAGAGATAACATGACAAAAACTCAGTACGAGTATTTATTTTAATTAAAAATTATTCACCTCCAGGGCCATAATGAACGATTCCATCGCGCCGGAATTCTTGCGCCAGAGCGTTTCCAACGTGCGCTCGCGTATCCGCCGATCTGAAAGACACACACGTGAAGCGATAAAACCGTTTTACTCTCCGTTGTGTGTTTTAGTCGAATTCGCAATTTATTCGGTGGCGCCAGATGGGCTAGTGTCTCGCCAATGCCAGGTTGGCCTTAACAGATGGTGTAACAGCGTGTTCTTTAAAAAAAAAAATCAAGAATACCAAGTAATTTGGCACGACATGCACTTATATCAAACTTGACAAAGTGCCAATTGAGGATCAATGTCACGAACAATGTTCGTAGAAAGTTTACGTAGGGAAACGTTAATTGAATGCCCTTGCAAATATAATCGATACGTCTGCAGTGTGGATCATGGGGAATAATATAAATTATCCTACAATTTCTGGTTCTGATGTCAAACGTGGTGGTGACGCGAAACGTGACCTACCGGCGAAAATTTAGCGATACCTAAAAGTATCCAACTATGTTGCAAAATGATCGCGCGTGTAATGCGCGAACTGAAACTCGAGCGCGCAGTAAATTCCGCGATTCGCTCGCGAGAACGCCGGCCAGGAAGATTGCCAGGCTCTTATCAAATTGGCGCACGAGCGCGACCCGAGCGTGTATCGTTCGGTGTCATAGTTTTTCTGGACGTCGGCCAACGGGTCTGTCGTCAGTGTTACCGAAAGTGATTACGCAATCGGCTAACAGGCGGTTCTTCAATTCTAAAATAGCGCACGGTAACGATTGACTACTGTTTGCACACCTGTTCGCTAGTTGTCCTAGAGGTTCAGAAACGGATTGACGAATTAATATTTGATAATCGCGACAATCGGAACAAAAATAGCGGTTCTGCAATAATTAAATGAGTAATAAATATGTATCAAATATTATTAATATTAAATTTAATTTTATATATATATATATATATAAATTAATATTTAATTTAATATTAATACGTTAAAACCTACGTTAATACCTAAAATTGTTTATACATAGATATTTATATTGCAAAAAGATGTTGAAAATAGGAATCTATAGTTGAGCTTGAACAAAACTGTCGATTGTTTTAAAAAATAATTTGAAAAATGATCTTGACTCTACACACAATTTTGTCATATCGCTAGCGAAAGTATCGCAAGTATCCAAAATGCATAATGAGCGAAATTACTTCACTCATATCTTGTTCGCGACACAATTACGTCTCGACTGATCTCCGACATAAATACTTGCCCGCTTCCGCTAGAAATTTCGTGTGGCTTACGTCTGTTTTATCAAATTCCATAAAAATGGCACGAAGCAAATGTAATAATAATAATATGGCGATGGCGCAGAACGCGATGAACGATTTCCTTTGCTATCCACTGCGAGGGAATCACATAGGAGAATGATAAATCGCGCAAGTTCCAGGGTGATTTCGTGCTCGCCGAGAGTAATAATATACCGGCACCGAATTTCTCCCTGAAGTGTCCAATCTACCTCCCGATTCGTTTAGAACTTTGTTATGCGGCGATCGTGATTCGCGCGCAATATCGTACATTTATCGTACGCTTATCGTATTACCATTAACAGAGACGACACGACGCGATACAAAACATTAATGGAGGATAACCGGAAATTGCCATGGCATCGTCCAATTCGCGAAAATAAAATATGATCGTAATTATTTTAAAAAATTTTCGAACATATTTATCTCTTTAATATGTCACACATTTGTCTTTTAATATGAAATAAAATTCCGTGAGAGATATCGTTCAGGAGCCGTCGTGCAGACAGAATCGAGAAATTCATTGCTCAATAAACGTCAATAAAAAAAAAAAAAAAGAATCAAATTGGCACAAGACTGACAAAGCATTCTCTGGAACACAAAGTTACCGCATCTGACGTTGGCAGATGAGGGATTTCCGAGGTAGATTTGCGTACCTGATGAGGTGACACGCGCGTGAATCTTGGCCGCGATCGCCCTGAGCGCGTCGCCCGCCTCCTGCGGTTTAGCCGCGTAAGTTCGGAGCTTCTCCAACAGCGCATCGTTCACGATCTCGTCCGCGCTCTTATTACTCGCTGACATCACACTAAACAACGCATCGCAAAACAACGAAATTCATGTCATTTACTCTCCCAGAGCGATCGTTCGATGCGCATCGATAGCGCATGGGGGACTGCAAAAAGCCATTCCTAATTTCGGGGATTCTCTACGAAGTCTACGACGTAAAAAATGAACACGTCAAAATACGATACGCACGCTAGGCGCAAAAGCACGTACAATGTAGTCGAGCTCTGTCTACAAGTGACAACGTGAAACGATCAAGGATTATAGAGGTTGCAAGCTAACAACATCATTTCGCATTGCCTTATGGAGTACCTGAAAAAGATGATCGACGATTATTATCTCAAGTGCGCAAGAAGCGACATCACGACTCTCGTCTCTCCTCTTGTATTTCTTATCGGTAACTCATCTACTATATTTCTTATAGCGCTAACTCGCTTTAGGACAGATCCGCGACAGATGCAAAGGCGATGGCTTTTCCGTCACGACGGGTCGGGTCGATGATGCCCGTCGCGCGATTCCGTCAGCGCGATTTCTCGCCGCATCAATGAATCTTCCTTGGCTTTCGGCCAACCGTGGTCGCGGAAGGACTGTTAATCAAGATTCGCAATCAGCTGGCCGCGGTTAGTCAATGTCGCGGGGATTGAAGTCAACCATCGGAAAATCGCGTCGCAGCCAAGGTTAAAGGCGACGTTCTAAAATAATCGTCGCACATACGGGCGAGTTGCGATTCCGGGAAGGAGCTCATTATATCGAATAATTAAACGTCCAACTGCGCATCAAGCGGCATCAACGACTCGTCATATCAAAGGATGTTTCACTTGGTCGCATCGTGCGAGATCGTCGGCGATATCGAAAGCGTCCTCAGATTATTTTGATTTTGGCTTTATACTTGCACTAAATTTGGGTCTCTCCCACATTTTCTCACGTTCAGCCCTAGCCACATGAAATATTTGCGAAGCGATTAAAAGCGGAAGGCGTCATGCGAAATATTTCACACGGAGCTACGCCAAAGCCCTTCAAGCAGATACAAAAATAAGAACAAAAGACTGATGTTTAATAGTAAGATATTTATTCATAGCATCACAGATTATACAGAGACATTTTAAAAACGTGTGTACTCTCCTGCAATCCTGGTAGAGCAATGTGGTTTGAAACGTATAATCCTCAAAGGGTGGTTAAAGGAATGCGTGAGTTATTGCATTAAGCGATGCATCGGTGCGCTAACGAGAGAAAAGCTACGGTGATCGAACGAGTTTATAGGATGCAGGTGTGTAACAATCACAAAATTTTTTCTACTTCGACTTCATCAAGCGGAATTAATTAATGAACGTCGCGTAGCTTTGTAGGCTTCTTAAATATCGATATAATCGCCCGATACCTTCAGCCCGAACAAAAACATGTACATCTTGTATCTCGTAATGCCTATCTCGTAAGTGTTTAATTGGGATATAAAAGCTAATCCGAGTATAACGAATCACGATGCCAATGTTATACGCGAGTTGATGCGATCTCGATAAAGAGAGAGGAGAAAAAAAATCTCGAATGAAACACATCCAGCGCGTCCACACGCGATATATATATATATATATATATATATGCGAGGCCAGATTATCATTCGTTCAGATTTATTATTGATTTACATGAAATTTATCGCGAGGCCATTTAAGATACTCGAACTATTAAGGAAACGTAATCAGATCAGATTTTATAATTACAATCCGTGCGTTACCAATATCAATGATGTGCCTTCTTTTTTTAATTTTCGCGAAACAGGTCTATCTCAGCAACCACCGGCGATATCAGCGAGCAAAATGAAAGTCTTCGGCCTCGCCGTGTAAATATAGCGATCGTCAGAGAAGCATATCGAAATAAATAAGCCGCAAACTGAACGCATACCGGGCGTACGCGACCGTACGTACGGATCGTCGGCCGGAAAACCGCGACGGAGATGGCGAACACGCACGTACACACACATACACACGGAAAGACGGATTCTGTCTTCTAGGCTCTTTACTCTTCCTGCTGGACGTCAGCCGTGTTCTCGTCGACCGGTTGCATCGTCGCTATCGGTCGATTTTCCCCGTCGCTTCGTCGATTTGCACCCCTCATACCTCTCCTCCCTCCATCAGCCCAATTCCATCGAAAGCTTTGAACTTTGGACCCCGTGGATCGCGTTCTAAGAAGGGGAAATAAAATTTCTTGCGAAACTTTCCCAGTTCGTCGTGACCTGTCTCCTCCGACAGTGATAATCGCGCTCGTCGATAACAATGACGTTGAGATCTTGGAGAACGCGGATCTCTCTGCGCGAAATACGTGAAATGATCCTCGCGCTTCGCCACTCCGCGGCGGTTTGACGTTTCTGCCTGCCAAAACTATGTTTAAATGCATACCGCGCGCGCACACGCTCACACGTACACGTGGGACGCGTGTCTATTTATAGCAGCGACCGCTTCCCGAAAATCGCGCCCCCTTTCTTCCATCCCAGCGTTAACACCCTCGCGTCTTCCAACACCCTGGCGTCATCGACCGATGCGCCGCGATGCATCGCCAAAGTCTCGACGGGAGTGGGAAACTCTACGAGAGTGGGAAACTCTTTTTATCACTGCAAAATTGAAGCGACACAATTCATTAGACAAAATATGTTTTGCGAGAGCACATTTTTATATTTAAACCTAATTGCCCAACTTTTTCATTTTAGATCTAATTCTTGGAACGTGAGAGAAGGAAGATTTTCAAAAGCAGATAATTTTCGAAATAGAGAGACCTGGCAGAGCGAAACATCTGGGATTTTGAAATGTCTCTCTCTCTCTCTCT